TGGTGCCGCAGCACTAACAAAACCTAACGCATCTTCCAAAGATTGAGATTCCAAAACTCCGCATTCAAATAACTCAGTCTTAATCACAGTTTTAATACTATCCTTTAGACGTTTATCTTGACTTGACAAACTAATTTTATAATGAGTTGAAAGTTCTACTAACTGATCTTTAGAAAAATCATCCAACAGAACTTCAGACGGAGCACTAATAAATTCCTCAACCTTTGAATCCATGATAAAACAAGAGTAGCCTACGGTTAACCAATTTACAAAAATATATCTGAGGGGTAGAAAGTGGATACACAATCCCTCTAACTAAATTTCTAAATTATCTAAACATATCCCTAATCTTCGTACAGTTACTTGCAGCGGGTTTTTATACACTGTAAACCAGTGTTTGAAATGGCAACCGATTAACAAGTTACCATCACAAAACACGGACGTGTTCCCGAGACAACTGCTCTAGCTGCTTTCACCATACAGAAAAAAACAAACTAAAATAAAAAAAATTCGGAGCATCCCGTTAAGGATATCCCGCTAAACCTAACCAGGGAAAGCATATCCACAAAAACTCCCCTCAAACATACCAAAAGAAATAGTCAATACTTACCGAAGTCAACTTCCATGAAGTAGGCTAGGCCTAACCAAAAAAAAAAAAAAAAACCAATCACTAAAATCCTCCACGAAATTTCAAAATTCAATATTCAACAAATATTACTACGAAAAAAAAACACATCTAACGAATTAATCATCGGATTAACGAAATAAACTACTTAACCAAAGTTCTTAACCAAACAAAGTTTTAGACGAGCCCCCACATTTGTCACGACCGGCTCAAAGCCGTGGCAAATGAAATGGACACAGTGATTGGATTGCAAAAGAAAATAACTTTTATTCACATAATTAGAAAAATGTATAAAACAATAAAACGTGGTCGTCTGTAGGCCTAATGCCTGACAAAGGGCATGGGTGTAAATGTATCAGCCAGAGCAAACCAAAATACTAACCAAAGAAACTAACCGAGCCCAAATCAAACATAAATCGAACACAAAGTAAACCGGAGGAAAGACCTTTCTGTGTACACCAGTCAGTCTAAACATTTATAGAGGGATGAACAGGTGGACATCGTTCCGTTGATGAGTCTCCTAGCCACACCCACTAGCTCACCGTAACAGGAAGAGAAGAGACTCGTCACAGTCCATTGCACTCGTTCCTGTTGCATGTGCTCAAACCGGCAACCCGTGTGAGCGCCGTCCAGTCTGAGGAGCAGGTGGCGAGAGAAACGACGATCTCCGATATTTTTAATTCGACTGCAGTACCTATTTCGACCACTAGTCATTCTTACATATCGGTTCGCGTACCCCGAAGTGATCAAATAAAACAAAATTCTGTATCCAAATTTATAGGCAAGACAAGTAGTTTGTTTAGGCATGGGTTGTATGGAATTACAAACCTGCGCACATATTTTCAAAAGCACATAACTATAGAATTAATTCTGAATGTGCATGTGAACGCCGTCAGCGTTAATCACAGGTTCGCGTTTAAAGTCGATCATTCTGTAAGGGAAAGAGTTAAACATCTATTGTTTATAATCCATTGGCTTGTCATTTTCTCCCACCAGCACAGAATTTGTATTTTCTTACTTTCAGCTTTTACTTTTTTCTTTTTTAAATTGATTAAAATATCAATGCCAGTGTCAATGTCTGTGGTATCTTGCCCTTTTATTGATTGACTTAATCATAATTGTGCAGCACAACACCAGCATGCAGTGTAGACAGACTTTACCTAGTCTGATATTAAAGTAGACATCTGACTCACTGTATTCACAGACATGTGAGTGAGGCCAGTTAGAAAATTATTGCACACTTCTGAATAGGTAAAATGAGTCTTCACATTTGATTTTTATTTATTTATTTTTTACAAATTTTAAGACAAATCTGTCACTGTGCAATCCTGTTATTTTTTTTGCTGTGGATTTGTTAGTTGGCTCTGTGATATGTCACTGATCAAGGTCAGCTCACAGTGCGGTGTGTATAAGATGAGTGCCACTTCACAATGAATGTTGTTTGAAGAATGAATCTCTCCAGATGGGGTTGATAGAAGTACATTGATTTTTGTAGATGGATAATGAATAGTGATTAGCTTTTGGGAGCAAGTGATTGATAGTCTGTCAGCTAGTTTGTACAGGGGCTTTAGGATTTATTTGCAGATATTTAGCACCTTTTTAAAAGTTTTGTTCAACAAACGGCTGCAGTGTCTCATATTTATCAATGTCAGTTGTACTTTCAAAAGAAAAAAACATTCCTTGTTGACACTTTTTTAGGATTCTGCTTCTGTGGCCAGAATAGCAACATTAGAAATACTTCAAAACCATCAAAAGCTCCATGCCCGGTAGCCAGCATCATTGGGGAATATAAATAGTGTGACGAATCGACGCATTTCACGAAAATCAACTATTTTATGCAATCAACGTAAGCGATTATGTTGACGCGTCGTTCCAGCCCTACTTCAAACATCGCAAAGACCATGATAACTTTTGTTAACTCTACAATAAGTAAATACACTTCATTAGCAAATATACTCTTCAACAATAATGCCATAGGGTGTTTTTACACTTGAGTCCTCTTTAAAAGAACCGAACTCAGACTCCTTTAAGTGGACCAAGAGGTGAACCAAGTGAAAAAGGACACTGTCCATGTCCCTGAAAGACGACTCCGATCCTTTTTTGGTCCTCTTTGTATACTGTTGCTTTTTGGATCTAGTCCAGTTCAGTTTTTGATGGCTGACCCTACAGGTGAAACTCGAAAAATTAGAATATCGTGCAAAAGTTTATGTATTTCAGTAATTCAAATTAAAAGGTGAAACTAATATATTTAGTATATATAACTATATCATATTTTGGCTTTTACAAAAGTCCTGAGGGAAACTTAAACACTTTAAACACTTTAAATCGTGACCACCACCCACTGTAGTATAACAAACGCAAGGCAAGTTAACTTTCTACTCAAAACCAAAAAAAAATCGGGGAATTGGACACAAAATATTGTTTTGAGTTGAAATATTTGATCTCACTTGTAATTTATGATTGATCAAAGATGAAAGCATCCGTGAAGAAAAGTTTGCAACAAGTGGCTTTGAGTTGAGAGGAACTAACAAGTTCAAACACGAGTACTAAGGGTGACAATTAACGGATAATTGTAGATTGTACACTTATGTCACCATTTTTTTTTTTTTTTTTTTGCTACAGAAATAATTACGGGGACGTCAAATATTGAATGAGATTAATGTTTTAAAATCTTACCCATTTATAAATCCATTTTGTACAGTGTACAAAACAATCGCCCAGACAAGATGACCACTACAACAATATTATATTAGTATTAATACTAAAGTCCTCTGAAAACACTGATAAGCATGATGGCAAGTTGCATTAGAATGAATAGAGTGTGTTCGCAGTCATACAATTATTTAAGATTTATTTGACAGGGACAAATGCATAAAACATTGCTTTATAATAAATACAAAGTAGATGCCACGCATACAGGTTTCTAGCCATGACTAATTTGCAACCCCTATCCCTGGTTAGGCTTATGAAATAAAACAGAAATTACAGAGTATTGAATGTAAGATATGTAACTATTAAAAGACATACAACAAATACATCCCATACATGAAAAAAAATATGGGCTTAAGTAGATATAAAACTATAAAACAATCTGGCAGATTTAACAATACAAAAACACAAAAGGCTGCATATGCGTGCTAACATTATGGAACAATATGTTTGTATGCATTGTGTTGTATCCTGTACAGTCAGTGTTCACAAAGTTGTTTTTGTTTCAGCCATTGCTTTAAATGTGTATTAAAAACCTTGAGTTCTGTCAATGTTTTAATTTCAGATGGTAAAGCATTCCACAAATGTATGCCTCTTACTGAAAAAGATGTCTGACCAAATGTTGTTCTACGTTTTGCAGCTATACAGTTTCCACTTATTGTGCCTCTAGTTCTTATTCCCATCCAGTTCTTTTCACAAGAGACATGGACGTGCACTGTTATAATGCGTTACTATTGACAAGGGTCATTAAAGGAATAGTTGATAATTTGGTCATTTACTCACACTTAAATTGTTTCAAACCTGTATGAATTTCTTTCTTGTGCTGAGCACAAAAGAAGATATTTTGATGAATATGTATAACCAAACGGTTGATGGACCCCATTAACTTCCATAGTAGAAGTCAATGGGGTCCATCAACTGTCTGGTTACCGACATTCTTCAAAATATCTTCCTTTGTGTTTAGCAGAAGACCATAATTCATCCAGATTTGAAACGACTTGAGGTTGAGTAAATGATGACAGAATTTTCATTTTGAAGTGAACTATCCCTTTAAAAGCAAGGAAATGCCGCAGAACAGAATCTTGCTTAAAAAAGTGCATAGAGCAGTAATTTGACACAATAAGTGTACGTTATGAATGAATAATTTGTAGAGATCTGCCTGAAGAAACAGCCATGATGAACAGCCTATTTGTACGGAGGCATCTGATGACCAAACATTGGAATTCACAAATGGAAAAATCAAGTGAGCCTGGACTCTCATTGTGTTCACAATGGACATTTTTAGCGAACCGTACCGAAAGCGAACCATACTCAGACCACATCCTGAGATGGTCTCGGTTCGGTTTGCTTTTAAGGGGTCCGAGATCATTTTGAGTGTTCACATACGAGCCAAAAATCATGCGAACCACACTCAGACTTCTGAAAAGGACCAAGTATTATACAGAGTTATACTGTATACAGAGCTACCGCAAGAATGGGAGTTCAAACAAAATGGTCTAATGATGGCTGCATGCTTGTTTCTCTGGCGCATTAGGTCTATAGTTTCATGGTATTAGATGTAGATATATCCAAAGATGAAAGCTTGAAAGTGTTTCTGAAAGCACATTTTGCCTTTTTTCTTAATGTGTCTCGCATATCCCCCCATATCTCTCTCCCTCTCCTTCAGAAAGTGGGCTGTGACAGGGAAATTGGCTCCAACAAGGTGGAGGATAAGTGTGGTGTGTGTGGGGGTGACAACTCCCACTGCCGAACTGTGAAAGGAACCTTCACCCGTGTGCCCAAGAAAGCTGGTAAGATACTTTCCTCTTTCCTTGGTCATTGACTTACAGTATTTAACTTAAATTGGGCAGTCCTTTATTCTGGACTTCAGCCCTATCAGTTTTAGTTTATATTTCCAGTCCTCTAGTTTGAGGACACTTCAGGAGTTCACTTGACTTGACTTGTCACAAAGGGACACAAACTGAAGTTTATTTTTAAGTCTTCCTCTATCTGAGTCTGCTGTAGTTCATTCAGTGAATTTTGACAGTGGAGTATGACACAAAATACTTTTTTCACACTGGGTTGTCTCATTTGCATGTGGCTCTCACAACCCCTACTTGACCCCATTTTTTTATTTAGGTTGTCACATTTCACAGTGTCACTACCTGGGATTCTTATTCTGTATTCACATTTTTACTCTTGACACTCTTCCTCTGACACTAGGGCTGGGCGATATGGAGCAAAAAATATATCTCGATATATTTTGCTATATCTCGATATTCGATATATATCTCGATATCTTTACAGGAAAATGGATGTGAATACAACTCAAAATATAGGCCTACAATCAATAGAAAATTAATTTTCCATAACAGAATGTAACCAAATGAGAAAAATTAAACACAGATAGAATGATGAATTTCGTCATCATTATTAATCACGTGATTCATATACAGAAACTGAATAAAGAAATCAAATGGAAAATAACACTGAGTAGTATTTTAGTCCTGAATAAATTAAATACATAGGTTATTAATCCTGATTCCTTTAACTTAAAGCTATCTTTTGTTGTATTGACAACAAAATGAATGACACACATATGGCTGCCGTCACTTTAAGAGCTAGTGCACGGATCCTGTGTTCATTATACTGGCATGCGTTTTATGCTTATTAAAGACAAAACCGACTATGTTTAGAGTATACTCACGACGACCGAAATTGACAATTTTGCGTGTTAAAGCAATATAATCCGCGAAAAATAACTTTTGTTACTGGCCAGCTGTTCTTAAGGCGGATTTTCTATGAATGTGCGCATAGAAAATAATCTCTCAGAGAGCGCGCGAAGCACTGATTAGTTTAAAATCGCTTGAATGTTTAAACTGGTAAGACTTAAAAAGACGTGCAAATGGTAAACTTCAGTCACGATGCACTGCTGGCCCGATTGTGCGAGTGAATATCCATCATGTCCCGACTCCTAAACGCGAGTGTGTTTTATCTCAGCAGCTCTTGATGCTTGCCTTGCACAACACATTATGAGAGACGAGAAAGAAGCGGCACCGCTGAACACTCACGCTGTTTGTGAAATTGCGTCTGGCAGATAGTTGTTAAAAGAATGATTTGATTTTATAATCTGTGTGGATTACGATTGCGGGAATTTCCCGCATTATAAATGGGAGACCTGCGGGAATGATTAGAATTATGCGCAATACCCGCGCCGAAATTCGAGCCCTGCAATAGTTTAAAACAAGACGTTTGTAGTAGCCTTCTGATTACTGGAGTCCATTAATCGAACTTCCATGCCTCTTATATAGTAATTATATATTGTAGTATGTAGGCTACCAATTTACTAATGCAATTAATGCTCACACTCGGTTTCTCTCGTGCTCTGTCGCTCGCGCGCAGACACACTCGGAGTTCTGTAGCCTCCGGGCTGGTTGCGGATGAGACAATTGTTGAATGAGACAACACGCGAGGTGAGGGGGAACAAAAGCAAGGAGGCGGGGGCGAGCACAGCACAGAGAAGGCAAACTAGCAAAGTGGCAAAATCAGGATTAAATATAAACAATATATCGATATATACGATATGTCAAAATCCATATCGTGTTTAAAAAATATCTCGATATATTTTAAATATCGAGATATCGCCCACCCCTATCTGACACCATAGAATGAACAAGCTGTTTGAGAAATTTATTTGAACGCATTCACAAGTAAAGGGCATCTGTACTTTTCTTGTTCTTTGCTCATATACATAAATGACCATGCTCAAATGTCCATTAGACCCACTCAATGTACAGTACATTCAGTTTTTTAAGACAAATTAGAGGTCTTGCCTACATCTGGAGAACTTTGTCATTGTACTTCAACTGTAGTTAAATAACCTTAGCAAAGTGAACAGCTGATGTCATAACTGTACTTTAGTCTAGCTTTAGGACTGAACAAAAGCAATTTCCTTTACTTCAGTTACAGCATATTCATTGCCAGCCTGAATATTATGGTTATGAAATTAAATGTCTGAATACAGCCCTATATGGACAGGAGTAGTTTTCTAAATGACGTTCGAGTTAAAAAAAATGTATCACTCGATGTCTGTGATTTCATGTACTGATTCGGACGGGACTAACATTTCCGTGTGTATTACAGAGGTGGGAGTGTGTGTTTTCTAGATGTGGGCGTTACAGAAGGTAATCTGCTGTGCTTGCGTGCATCATGACATAAATGTATTTTAATTTATTATTTGTTAATATTATTTTAATTTATTATAAAAAAAACAATTTAAGTAAACTTCATATGTTGATAGAAGTGGCTGTTTATAATAAACCCAGATAAATGAGCAGCGAAATCTAGACAAGCATCTTTCTCTTAACTGACACTGATATTAAAATGGGTAGTCTTTGCATTTTTTTGCGATTTGGCTCTATTTATTAATTTTATAATTTGATTTCTTCGTCGGATACTATCCATATTGAAATGAAAAGAAAGCATGCTGAAGATTGGTGTGCAAACGGTAGTTCAGGTAGGTAAAAAAACACACGAGAAGCGTCAGGATAATACAACATCAGCAATCACAGACATTCGCATTTGGACGAGATTAGCATTACCTGAGGTAATTTTTCCAGACCTTTTTACAAAAGGTAGAAGTTGCCTTAATCTTTACTGTCCGTAATGATTACTGAGATGGTACATTCGGACGGGACTAAAATCACAGAGATCTGGTAATAAATACTCCATGTAAAACTAATCCCATCCAGATAGGGCTTATGTTAGTAAAGCACTGACTGCACGTTCGTGAGTTTAAAAAAAATTATGGGACATTTGTTGGAAATTGTCTTTTGGTCCTAATTCATCCAATAAAATCTCAGACTAAGTTTATCCCTGTTATTAAGGCCTGTTATTATCCATATAGGTGTAATGACCTGATTGTTCAAACCACATTCAAGACGAAAAACGCAGAAAATCGAACCCGATCCTATTTTTTTTTTATGACAGACGAAAGTTTCGGAGGCAGTGTGCAAGCGTGATTGACATAACGTGAGGTCTTTTTTATTTTTTAACGTGCGAACATTTCGGACGCGAATTTCGGACTCAGTGTGCAAGGGCCTTCTGACAACTGGTCATCATATCGTCAGGCGGATGTTACTACCAGGTGTAGACATGTTCTCAGTGTGTGCTGTCTGAGTTTTCATTATGTTTCATAGGTATCAGGGGATTATGTTTAAGATCAATATTCTCAAAGCTAATTAGACACATGAAATGAAATGTAGTTTTTCATTAGATGGATGTGCAGTAAATTACAGACACCTCCTATTACAGACACACACATACACACCACAGCAAGAACATTGACATTCAGGACCACTGGGCTGCTTGATGCAGGAAACTTGCAAACACAGAGAAACAATATTTACAACATTTATTGAAATTGTATGAACACACAGTGCTTCCCTCAGGAGGTACATTACCACTCCAACTCGACTGTTTACTTTGCATACAAACTGTGTATTATTTTCCCAAGACACGCAGGAGATGATCCTGGTTTTGTTGCAAGTCTCACTCCTTTCAGATCAACTGGTTTTCATCATTAATGCATTCACCCGATCACACTAATTGGCGATTAGCCAATTTCTATCACTGACATTACGTGACAGATAGAGCCAAGTACCATTGGCAGTGAATTCAATATGAATTGAACAACATATTAAAAAGCAGAACATTTTGTACCTAGGGAATCACAATAGATGGACCAAGGCAGGGGAAGCTTTTATTTGAGCAGTCCATCACAGAAAAGCCATCAGTTTTGGGGGGAGGGGTGTCATTATCATTTAGCCAACAACAGGGAAGAAAGCATGGAAGTCATCTAATTGGTTTCCCTAAGCAACTATCACTTTACTTTTTAATGGTGTTTTCCAGCTGTGCGGCCTAGTGGGAGCTTGAGGCTCACACCAGAACTAATTTATAAATAGATTCCCCCACTGCCATAGTTTTAATTATATTGTGTTTTGGCACATTGTCACTATGGCTAGTAACTGTAGTGCAGGGGTATTCAATTAAAGTACCAGAGTCCAGCCTTGAAAATTCCTTCCAAGCAAGGGTCCAAAGAGTCATAAGTTGACTTTGCATTTAAATGACCAAATAAAACCTACAGGCACACTTGTGATACTCACTTTGATATGTTGTCATGATAGTCATGAAACTGACTGTGTGAAAAGCCTGTCACAATATTGTCACAATGCTTATCATATCATGTTATTGCTTGTTCAACCAACCTCCATGCATGTTGATAATGATGCATTGGCCGAAAGTAATAATTGTATAGTGGCCTGTCCATTCACAAAGCAGTTAATGAGGATATGACACATCTCCCCAGTTATTAAAAAAAACAGTGTTTTGGGCCGCTGGTGGCTTTGATTAGGCCTATTAGATTGTTTTTATATACTAAGATTCTTTCTGTTATTTTATCCTTATTTTTTACTTTTCAAAGTAGCTGATGCTGTACATGTAGTTGAATTAATAGCACATAAGAAAATAACCAAATGGAGAATGTATTAAAATACCTATTTCCCTCTATTAATCCTATTCGTTTAACTTCATGGTGTATTATGTGATTAGAGAGGCACTCATATGCACAAAGGGCAAGGAGCTGACATCTTTAAAATGGCAGAGAAGGGTCTTTCAAACCCTGCATATACAGTACATTAGCTAATTTGAATACAGTGTTCGGGACTTTGCTACGTACAGTAATTAAGAGCTGTGGCTGCTCTGAATAAAAATTACGCGATGAGTGCTTAATTTAAATTAATTTTAGCCTAAATATGCAAATCACATTCTTAGGATAAGTATAAATCTTCTTCGGAAACAGGCATTGGCACACACCATGTGGGTCTGACACAATGTTTCATTGCAGTAATTTCGGGAGCTGCCTAATTTGACTATTACATAGAGACATACAATCGCAACAGATCCTTTTAAGCTTCATTCTGGCATTTGGCCTATACAATGACGATAAAACACTGCAGCTAATGCATAATGAAGCACAGTCCTTGCCCAGATGGCAGGACAAATGTCTCTAAGAAAATGGATTCATGTATGTTTATGTTGCCTTTGTTGCATTTGAAAGACGTGGCATGTGGCATTGAGACGATGTTTCTGGCATGATTTCTTTCAAATGTGCCTCAGTTTTCGTTATGAATGCAGATTCTGCTATTCCTTAACTTTAATTAGCATGGTGTCACAAGTGCTGTATTTACTTGTGACAATGAATTCTTTTTTTTTTATTCTCGTTCTATCCAGAATTTGCATGATGTTTACAGCATGATGTTTTCATAAAATATGCATCATATGGGTGATTGTACACAATTTGTGACACTTTATATCACAAATTCCTTATATTGTACTTAACTATTATCATTGCTAATTTTAACACATTGTCTGCATGAACTAAATCAGAATTTTTGACCTTTCTCCATCTAACTCCATCTTGTTTTATTTTCAATTGATTACTTTTTTTAACAGGAAAAAAGTTAAGCAAGAGATCCCAAAAAGAAATTCCTGTTTTGGAAAACACAACCTGCAAGTATCTTATATTGTCTAATCCTACCCTTTCCTGCTGTACTGCTATCCTCTGCATTGACTCTAGCTAGTAGCTTTAAAGGAATGTTCCGAGGATGATATAAATTAAACTCTATCAACTGCATCTGAATAATGCTGTCGATTACCACAGAAAATAACTTCAATGAAAACAAATCCCATGGCTTTGTTTATAAAACCCAAAGAAAAACCTGTTTTAAGTAATGCACTTACAATGGATGCCCATGGGGCAAATGTATTGAATAGTTTAGAAGCGAAAATGTGAAGGTCATACTTGAAGCACTGGAATTATTTACAAAATAGATCTGTTTAAATCATTCTCTTAAGGTGTAAAACTTTTGTCCTACGTTATCAACGTAATTCCTGATTGACGCTTGTTCCATTTAAACAGCATTTTGTGGACAAATACATCCTTTGCTGATATTCCTGAGCAGATATCATGTGAAATTTTACATTTGACCATTTTAACTTGGGTTTGCCAGCTTTTGAAACACAAAAACGTTGGCAAGCTATTCTATGACACCAGTGTCATGCTGACATGTACTGACTGCATATTTTAAAAGTTTGGTGTTTGGTGTTGTGGTGTTTCCATTATAGGTACATTAATGTTCAAGTGTTTTTCCTTTGTATTTTTCATTTAATTTCAGATTAAAATGATTTTCTTTAGTGATAGACAGCATGCCACAGATAACTCAGAATCTTCCTTAAAAATTGGCATAAAATAGTTTTGTTGTGCATACTCGGCTTGACTTAAATGTCCATTGAAGACTACTCTTACATTAGAGGCATAGTTCACCCCAAAATTGAAATCATTTTCCCTCATGTCATTCCAAACTTGTATGCTTGTGTTTCTTTTTCTGTAGAACAAAAAAGAAGATATTTTGAAAAATGTCTCCAGTGTTTTTCATTTGTTTGTTTTGTAAGTCAGTGGGCAGTAAGTTATTTGGACCCTAACATTCTTGAAAATATCTTCCTTTGTGTTCCATAAAGGTTTGGAACGACATGGAATGATGTCATTATTTTCATTTTGCGTGAACTGTCCCTTTAAATAAAGGTCTTGAAGAGCTTAATAAAAATGTCCATATTTCTAATTTCAAAATAGGATATATATAATATGGAAATAACATGAAATCAAGTGAATCTACGATTACTATATAAATATGCTCTCTCTCACCCTTACTCATACATACTGTAGTGTACAGCATCCCTCCCAGACCATTATAACACACCAGCCATTTTTTCTGTAAAAAAAAATTCTTTTATCTCTTTCTCCTTCCTCAACCCTATTTTATTCCCGCTCCTTTTAGGCCTGCACTCTAACTTCATCTGAACTCTATTAGGATTACCCAGCATCTTTCCTTGCAGATGTCTTCCTGTCCACGTTAATTGATGATAAATCCTCCCAACAGACACTGCCTCAAGTGACTTAATCCTTCATTGCAATGATTAGACTCCTTTTTACATCACACCGGTGTCTCAGACAGGCATCATGCTGCTAGAGACTGGTTCAAAGTCTAGCTTTAGTTTAGAGGCATTTATCATGTCAATGACAAAGACTGTAGGACAAAATGACGTAACAAATCCTTCTGATTCTGAAGGGAAAACAAGAGGAGCCTTCTTGCTGCCGAAAGGAGCTCGGAATATATATCTGAATGAAACGGAGGATTCTAGAAATGTGATGGGTGAGTGGTATCATGCTTTGCAGAGGAATGGGCATTCGTAGAGAAGGCAACATTAGTCTTTTTGTGTTCTTGTGTGATGTATTGCAAACTGACTCAAGGCTCTGCCATTCAGCATCCTTCTTAATTAGCCTGACATAACAATTGTTCATGGTTTTCAGTTTTGTTTCGCCTGACATTGTTTTTTGAGCTTCTGAAGGATATGTCATACATTCACATGGATGAATGTATGAAATGAATGGAAGTGGAACCTTCTGTCACGTATTGACATTTTTCCCTTATAGGCTTCTCATGACCCTGCTAGATGGACAGTTGCAATAGTCTGACTGTTCAAATCTGAAAGCTTTAGTGATGTACTAGAAATGCCTTAGTGATGAGATGCCCACCTCTGCAAAGATTAAACCGCAGTAGAACTTCTTAGCTAACTAATTGCTTCTGCTGTCTCTTCCTTTGCCTTTTTTTCACCGTTGCAAAGGTTACCTAAAGATGTTTCTCATTCCTCCTGGGGCTAGACATGTGATCATACAAGAACATGAGGCTTCTCCTCAAATTCTTGGTAAGTGAAATCTGTCCTCATGTTTCCCAGGATAAACAACAAAAAGATCAAATGCATGTATTCTCTGCGTGGTACAGGTAGCTGTGCTTAATGGATTCATGTCACTCTAATACTTATCCATTGGACCAATGTATTCATATAAAGCAGCATGTGCATTTTCCTGGAAGTGCATTAAACAGAATTATACTCACATATTTTAGAGACAATCACTGTCCACCACAATTTTTCTGTGGCATTGTGGACCATAGTCCTAAAACCTGAAAGGGAATGAGCAATTTCAAGCCGTGGGTTCCTTCTGGAATTTACAGTGGGTTTCTAAAATAGCCGTTTTCAAATTACAAGTATAATCATTTTTCATGTTTTGTTACACAGCATATAGAAGCTCAAACGTGAATTTTTAAAGCATTTTGTTGTTTTAATGCAGAAGTTGTACTACAACTGCCCATAGTGTGCTTCCCAGACAACTTTTAGCAAACGTTTATAAAGCATTTGAGAATGTATGTAACTAAATTAATGTTGTAGAACAAAACATGAACCTTCCTGTAGCTCAAACAATAGAGAATGGCACTAGCAACAGGGCAAGCAATAACTACTAAAATGTGTACCTTGAATGCAATGCAAGCCTCTTTGGACAAACACATCTGCCAAATTCACAAGTGTTAAAGGAGTAGTTCACCCACAAATTACAATTACTTGATTATTTACTCCGGCCCATCAAAGATCTAGATACAACTCTTTCTTCAGCTGAAGAGAAACTGGGCTCACCGTAGTCCATTTTTGATGGTCCAAAATCCATATTTAGGGAGCTTCAAATTAATCCACATGATCCTAGACAACAAATGATCAGTCATTTTCTGAAAATAATAATATTAATAAAATAATAAAAAATTCTAAAAACCCATGGATAATTTGCTTTCCGGCATAACCTGCTAATTGGCATTTTGACTGAACAGTTATGTTTGCCATATAAATGTGAGCAATAAGGCATTGCATTTTTATGCTTTGTGAATAAAAGCTAATTTTGATTATCAGTGTTTTTTTTTTTTTTTTAAATCACAATTTATTGGCCCTTTTTATTCATTCTATTCATTTTGAGAAGCTCATGCAGACAGCAATTATCACATTGTAATGCACATAATTGAATGAATTTAATTGAAGTCGCTTTTATTCTAAGAATATTCCCCTTCTTGAAAGTGCTTATTGAAAGTACTGTAGGACTTTAAATATTACCCCTTGGTAGTTGAACTTTTAATTAAACCTAACCTTATTTTAATTACCTAGATACAGTAAGTCGTTCAATACCTATTTTTACTGCCCCAGTTAATCTTACAAAGGTAATTTTTCTGTTTCAATAATACTTTCCTTTAGGGGTGCTTAATAGCTAATTGATAGAAATTTCAGTTATCCATATATTTAACTCAACTGATTACAATATTTAAATTCCTTTGCATGCCAAAAAAATGCTATTTGCAATTTGCAAAATGCAATTTCCATCAAACAGAAGACTTGGATAACGGGAAGATTCCTGAAATCTTTTGTTCACCAGTCTGTTAAATTAATAAATCAGAGTTAGCTGTCTAAGCATAGGCCTCAGGGTTCTGAAAAAAACAACAACAATTGGCTAAACTGATGCACTGCAGCCAGTTATGTATTATACATATGATATACATGTATACATATATGTATTATACTAACCAACAATAAAACAAAATTGAAAAAAAATATATAATAAAAATTTATACAGGTATGGTGCCTTAAATGACCCATTTCTGTCTCCAATTTTTAGATTTGTGATTAAGATAAAAAGCATTTATTTGCATGATAATTGAATATATCAGTGAACAATGAATTAAGTAATGTATAATATGTGAGTTCCCATCAGTAGCATCCTTGCTTGCTCTGATTAGTTTTATGATTAACACCTTTAGCATTTAATCTGACCAATTCAGTCTATTTTTCAGTCATCAAATGGCCTGGGAAAATAAACCTTTCTTATTTTAAGGCAGAATTCACACACACAAAAAAAGAAAGAAATATTTTTTTTGGGGGGTGAAAATCACAGGTGGAAAAGCATAATTTACAAGCTGAATTGTGACCATGATTTTCAGATTTTGTAAATAACCTTAATTTCAATGTATTATTCACACAAATCTCTGCGATGGCTTGTAATATAGCACACTAGTTTATGAACTAGAATGAACTACTGTATGAAGCTTTTGTTATGTTGTTTATTTAATTAATTAATTAATTATTTTTTTCCTGAGCTTACAGCTACTGGTCACCATTCAATTTTGTTGTATAGAGGAGCAAAACCTGTTTTAATTCCACAGAAGAAATGTTTATGCTTGGGGGAATTATCCTTTTTAAAGTTAACATTTTGTGAATATTCAGCCCTTTTTTTTTCCTCTGGCAAAAATAAACACAATTTTATCACACTAAACATGTAGGAAATCAAAGGTCAATTTTGATTTCATTGTATCAAACCTTTTTTCACAAGTGACATTTGATGACTGGTAGCAATGGTGATTTTCCTGACATGTGTACATCAAAACGTCTGTTTTGATGGCTGATGCGATAGTTTAAATGAACAGATCTTTCAGTTTGATTCAGATCCTTCTGTTAACCTCTTATCCCTGAATTTATGAAGCGTTGTAATTAATCTCTGAATGCAGCTATCAAGAACCAAGCAACAGGACATTACATTCTCAATGGCAAAGGAGAAGATGCAAGATCTCGGCGCTTCATTGAAATAGGAGTGGAGTGGGACTACCTCATCGAGGATGATGTCGAGACTCTCTACACTGATGGTCCACTACATGATGCAATTGTTGTTCTGGTAAATAAACTTTCTGTAATCTATTTTGAAGCTTAATGTGATATGATTACCGCACGCATTATGATAGACCTATAAAAAAAATATTTGACTCTTTGTATTTTCTTAGAATGGCTTAACTTGAAGTGCTGTAAAAAGAAAATTTGAATTTTGTTTTATTTTAAGGTCCTTTATGATATGTTGCCATACGGCAACAACATACAACAGTGGAATTTTTTTAGAAAAGAAATTGCCATTTAAAATAGATTTTTTTCCATAATACAAATGCATTGGCAGTATGACAAGCCGTTTTAACTTTTATTCATTTCCAGGATACTGTAGTATTGCACGATTGATCATATCGCTATCGCAATCACGTTGTCAAGCCTATGCGATTATATAAAGCAAAATGCTGCGATTTTTAAATAAACAAATTAGGGCTGTTCAATTAACTGCGCAATTAACGCAGCATCTGTTATTTTTTTGTCATTCTTTGGCTAGTGTTCCATGATCCCGCTCTTATTCGTGCGAATGCTTTAAACCATTCATGCGCGACAAGTCAAAAGAGAGCACGCTGCATGTGAATGTCCTGACTGGACGCGCGCCAGTAGGCTATCATGCGCATGCACTGACCGCGCGCCAGAATACAGTTCTCTTTCACGCTTGAACGAACAATAACACACACACTTATGCCAAAATGTTGTTTGTCGAGTATCTTCATAACATAAGAGCAGTCTCTTACATTACAATGCTAAGAACAATGCTAATTCTTGATATCCACAATTACATTTTCACTAGTTAAAATGCTAATTCTTGATTTTAACTAGTAAAAACCTTTATTTTTTTATATCAGAATTCAATTTTCACTAGTTAAAATGTCTATTCTTGATATCAACAATTGATTTGCAACTAGTAAAAACTGCTCATTTTTGATATCAATAATTAAATTTTCACTAGTGACCATGTTCATTTCTAATATCATGAATGTGATTGTTACTAGTAAGACATTTTAGATATCTAAAATAATATTGATATCAGATTTTCAGATATCAAAAATGTTTTTTTTTTACTGGTAGCAATTCAATTGTTGATATCAAGAATAGACATTTCAGCTAGTGACATTTGAATTATTGATATCAGGAATTTACATATTTACTAACAATGAAATTATTGATATCAAAATTGGCAACACAGACATTTGGTCGATTTACCAAAAACTAATTTCATTAAAACTTTTTTGAGTGGTGAATATGTCATCATAACTTAACTGAGGTGATGTTTCGATTTTTTTGTGTATGTGATATCGGCTGGTCCTTGTTTGTTACTGACGTTTTAGTTTGCTTTCAGCAACTACCGACAAACAGACGGCAGTCTGTCAAAAATCGCGCCACAGAAAAAAACTGCATGTCATGTGACTTAACCAAAGCACATCATTGGCTAAACTAAGGTATTCTCATTCCAACAAAAAACACGAGAATGTTTTCTTAAAGAGACAGTGGCAATGAAATGAACACAAAGAGTATGTTGCCATATGGCAAAACCATGCGGTAGAGGGTTAACAGTTATTATTGATCAAATCTCAAAATTAATATCCATTATAATACTGTACATTATAATGTTGTGATGTCTTAAATTTACTTGGAGCATTTAAAATGATTGATTTTAGTTTCTGTATAAAAAAATAAATAAAAAAATGTAAATTTAATACATTTAAAGGGGTGGTATAATGCCCTTTTTACAAGATGTAAAATAAGTATTTGAAGTCCCCAGAGTGTGTATGTGAAGTTTTACCTCACAATACCCCACAGATATTTTTAAATAGCATGTAAAAGTTGTCACTGTTTGAGGGTGAGAAAAAATTCACCATTTTTGTATCTGTCCCTTTAAATGCAAATGAGCTGCTGCTCCCTTTCAAGAAGAGGGCAGAGCTACAACAGCTTGTGTCCTTTTACCTCACACACACATGCACTGAAAATTTCAAAACCTTTTAGCCTTTTATGTTCAAACCAAAGTCAGAAAGATGGAGAGACTCAAGTAGAAGTGACAACATGTAGAAAACATTTCTGAATGGTTAGTTGGTGAATTTATGTAGATCTAATCGCGATATAGAACAGTGTCTGTAATGACAACATTTCGTTGACTAGTTTTGGATAGATTATAAAGTTTTTACTCTAAAATAGACATTAAATAAGCTTTTGTTAGACCGTTTCTGCTCATATTTTAAATATATAGTATGTTTTGTCAAAAATAAACTAACCAACTGTTATAGTGTTTGTTCCAATGCAAGCTATATCAAAATAATGAATCCTTAACTTTGAAATATGTATGATAAAATGTATTGGCCTACTTTAAAAAATAATACTTTATAAGAGATTTATGGAAAAATACTATTTTCTTTTCAAGATGTTTCCAACTCTAACTTTTAACCAATTCTATAGAATGGCCCATATAACCTGTTTGAACAGGATTTGTTTCCAGGTATGACTAAAAATGTGCTTTTGACTTTAATTTATATTTTGATTATATATATAGTGTATGTGTGTGTATGTGTGTGTGTGTATATATGTATATATGTATTGTCCTCGCATTCTTTCTTGTGTGACACACCTGATTGAAAGGCTCATTATTATGCGGGTCTTTGTCTTCTCAGGTGAGAACCACCTAATTAATCATGAGGGGGTTGGGCCATCCACGCCCATTCGCATATTGCCTTTCCAAACAAAATTTTTTTTTTTCACAATTTAAAACAATCTATTGTTTTATGTGAATGATTAGGCAGAATGATTTTCAGATCATTTTGAAGCAAAAGCTCTAGGCGACAACATCCATTAGTCAAAAGTCTTGTGGACACATATTTAGTATGTGTTTTGTGGCCTTATTTCAGAAACTTTAATTTTTAGTTTTTTCAATAACCATGCATACACAATATTCTCTCAAAAATACAAACATGCACATACATGTTGCTCATATATTATGGTAGCCCTGTTTGTTCTAAATAGAGTGTAATTTCACCTGTGCCATTAATATGTTTATAAGCAACTGAAAAAAGCACAAATGTCAGGGCATGTCAAAACATCTCAAGGACCCTAAAAACACCTTAGACCCCAGAGGGTTAAAAGAAAATATCTCCATTTGCTTTGAACTTTGAGCATTGTAACTTTGCAGATGTTGTTTATGCTCAAACAGCAACATTACACACTAACTAAAGTTAGAAAAGTGAAATCATATTCAACCACCCCTTTAAAGCTCCAGTAGGGAGTTTTGAGAAAACGTTGACTTAGCCTGAAAATTTGAACAAGCACAGCTTACAGGTCCCACCCCCTTGCTCTCTGCTGCGCTACAGCCCTCCCTCCACAGCTCGTCCTCCACAGCGGAGCCTGTCGTGAACGCGCAGGCTAGAAAACAGGGCCACCGATGACGGCGGATAAAAAGTTATATGGCACATTCACTAATAGGGACTAAACGTCAATAATATGCTTTACATTGACTATGGCCTGCCCATACTTTGACTACAAACTTGGTCCTCAAATCATTATGTATTTTGCAATAGCCTACATGTAACTTTATAACGTTGCACTCTTTCTATAAGTTATAAATAGCTAGTAAGATAACGTTAATATAACGGTAACTAACATTACAGCATGTAAGTAATTATTCTAGCGATATATAATGCTAGATAAGGTGTGCTAGTACATTATTTTAGCAACATGACGAGCCAGTGAATTAGCAGGTTTCAATTGTTGCTTAGCAGAGTGCGTGACATTTTATCTACATGTTATGCGGCTAGAGTTTTGACACCGAGTCAATGGGCTCAGTGTAATTCTTTCTTTTTCGCTTGTTTATCGTCATCGGTCTTTTTCCTTTTACCTCTTTGTTTTATGAGCAGGTGTCACTCGAGAATTGGCAGTTTAGGTTGTTTCTCCGTCATAAGCACAGCTGCAGCTCGCCGGCAATCTTGAGTTTGAACGACAGCTCGCGCTCCGGCGCTCGTGCTGTGCAAGCGTGGCTGCACATCACAGCAGTGATTGACACTGCTAAGACACTCCTCCTGGCTCTGATTGGTTGTTTCTGACCGGGAGCGTGTATTTCTTGCAAATGGCAATAGGACCACTGGGAGGAGCCAGAAGAGCTTGATTTTTACACAGATTATCTGTCTCATATTCTACTGTCAGGACATAATGACAGTTTTAGCAAATACATTTTTTCAAAAGTTACCTACAGCAGCTTTAAAACATTTAAATAGTATTATTTTATTATGAGCCATTTTATTATCATTTTATTATCGGCCATAAAAAATACTTATTGGCCAGAATATATATTGTCTGGGCATCCCTAAAAATTATTTTAATATATATTTAAAAAAAATTTAAGCATCTCTTTTTCCAGCCCATTCTCACTCCCAATATGTCAAAAACTGAAGCATAGTCAAGCGCCTTGCGTGGCCCTAAAGGTACCCCTATAAGCTACGAATGTCTTGGTTACTGTCGTAACCCTCGTTCCCTGATGGGGGGAACGGAGACGTTATGTCGAAAGACTGACAAATGGGGTGACAAATGGGGTGTCACTTGGGAGCCCCAATCACCTCTGAGTTTTTCGAAAAATGGCCAATGGAATTGGTGAGTGGAATTTGCATGCCCAGCCACTCCCCCATACATACGGGTATATAAGATGGCACTCATTGAGGTTTATGCTTCGGAGCCGAGACAGGATACCGGCCATTCAGTGGGGTGGTTCAGGGTTGTGGCAGGAGGGACAACATAACATCTCTGTTTCCTCCCTCAGTTAATGAGAGTTACGACAGTAACCAAGATGTTCCTCATCTGTCAGTCACGTTCAACGTTATGTCGAAAGACTGACAAATGGGGTCTAATGGAAAGTGCCACAACCTCTGAACTGTTACAAGTGTTGGAGATTCAGATGCTTGCAAGCTGAACGTGCCCTTTTAGCAACTGTTCTCGTAAAGTCGTAAACTACCCAGCGCCCCAAGTAAACTCAAAATCGTAGTCCTCCATGCCTACGGGGTG